TCCAAACCGTGTGCTTTTAACTGGCGTGCAATTATTGCCATGTGGTTCATTTCACCGCATCATGTATTCATATTTTGTGCGCATATTGGAAGAATCCAAAGCATACATTCCAGACGAGGCCTTTTACGTTTAATAGATGCCAAATCTATACGTTTCATCTCCTTCCTTTTCCTTTCCATTGTCTGACGTCACGTGTTGGCTTTTTTTTTTTTAAGGAGGGGGTTAATTTAATCACATTTAATAGCTCTCCCATTTCAAGGCCCTGCTTTTATGTGTTCTGTAAATATTTATTCTCCAGGAGGTATGAGCTCTACGTGGCTATTTTTAGCCCCGGGTGAAAGCAACCCTGTTTTCTTTTTTTAAATTTATTTCTTTCCTCATTGAAAAAAAAATTCAGCTTGCACTAAATGCAAAAGAAAATGCACTGGGTAGAGATATACAAGGTATATACTGCCAAAATAAAAGCTTCCTGAATGTTTCAAGCAGCTTTGCGCAATGCTGGAGTGAAAAATTAAAGACTGTATTTAAGCAGGTATAATAGAAAATGCATGTGTTGTTTCTTTGTTAAATCAATCGAGGATACCATGGATACAGGGCTGCTGAATTTACACCAATTTATCCCGATGACTTAAAAATTCCACAGATATCCTTGCAAATCCCTCTTAATGAGTGCCACATGGCTATTTCGCGTAAGCAAAGTTAACTAGTGTGTGTATTTTTTAAGCCATATTTAAGTGTTAAAACGAGCCCTGAATGATGGTATTAAAGCTGTTAGAATAAACCTCAGTGATGATTGGGTCATTGAGTGGTCATGTGATGTTTTTTTCTTTCCCCTTTCCCTTTTTTTGGCCTGTCTGCGTCGTGCAGTCGGCAGCCAGGCGGGCAGGGACGTCGTGCGCAAACTGTCAGACGACAACGACGACGCTGTGGCGGAGAAATGCCAACGGGGACCCGGTGTGCAACGCCTGCGGCCTGTACTTTAAACTGCACAATGTGAGTAATAAACCTTCACTGGATATCTCTCATAACTATCGAGGCTTGCCTCCAATATTTATTCGTCCAGCTCCCATCTATGTCCCCCTTCTCCTCAGATCTGCCTTCTTTATTTCTCTCCCATCACGTCCTGCTGGGCACCTTCCCCTCTCTCCCTTTGAATATTTCATCTGACTTGTCCCTGCAGAGAATTTCCGGGGCACGGCGATAACAAATACTGTAGAATTAATATGATTTATTGGCAGTAAGTGCGAATCTAAAATGTATAAGACCTAAGTGAACTAAGCCCGCAGCCGCCTTGCTTTTGAATATTAAAGAAGGGGCTTAATTAAAATTCGATTAATTTTTTTTAGACCGTTTTTTCCCCCCTTCTTCTTCTTCTTCTTCTTCTTCTTCTTCTTCTTCTATTTCTAGCCTTTTGGTTCCATGCGCGCCAGGGACTCTGAGTCCCCCCTCTGACCACCAATCCGTCTGATTCGTTTTGGGTTGGTTAGTGCCTCGCCACATCATTTCACATCCTCAATCTGAAAACCCCAGGGACGCGTTTATCTCTCCCTCTCTCTCCTCTCCTGTGCACAAAGCTGTCACTTTTAATCAAACTGCCATTGTGGCTGAAACTAATAATAATAATAAGCAGGATAACTGCTCTGAGGCCACATGTAGGTAATTTTCCTCCACCTTGTACAGACAACAGATAGAGGTTGCCTATACCCCTGTGCATAAGGGGAAGAGTATCCTGCTCTGCTGGCCAGCTTGTCACGCAAGCGCTCTCTGTTAAATCATTTTCCCATGTTACTTTTGGCACATTGTGAGGCAGTGCAGAAGCAGATTCAGACCAAGGTTAAAAGGAGAGTAGAATAATATTTCCCCGTTACATATTAGCATCTGAACTGACCCCGACCTTGGTGTAATTATGAAATTAGTTTATTTTGGTAAATCCAGACTTCTGTTGGGGTTTGCTCCCTTTGAAACAAATTCCACATTCTTCATGGAGAATTTAGTGGAGTCCCCGCTGGCCTGCATGGGCTCCTAATGTGTGTAAGTGTGAGCGTACAAAACACCTGATGGTAGCAGTCTGTTGTCCCGTAAGCTCAGATAAGAAGCTTGTGAAAACAGAAAAGTTGCCACAAACACAAGGTTGTGTTAACACCCAAAACATAGACGGCCTACTCCGAGTAATCAGGGGTTTTCTCACTGTGCCTGTAAGGTGTCTTTCTCATCTTTATATTTCTGAGAGGTGTACAGTCCTCACACTTCTGTACGGACGCTGAGGTTTCAGGTGGTTAGCTGCTGGTTTTTGGAGGGAAGATGTGAGAGCTTGCACTGTGCATTCAGTGGGGGCCATTGACTCAAATGCATTTTTTTTTATATGCTCGGGTATTGGTGGCCAAGCACACGCTGAAGGCCCAAGAATTGTTTCGCGAGACGGTAGACATCTCAGCATCAAAGAGCGGAGGCTAGACTGGCTTTCGGTGGGTGTAGCATGCCCTAGAACTGGAATCAGGGCACGCAAGGCAGAGAAGGTCACCCAGTATGGAGTCAAAGCTTAGCGAGTGAAACCCACATCACTGGGGGGAAAACAGATCTGTGCCCTCCACTAATCATCGAGGCCGCTGTTTAAAGAGTCAGCGAAAAATGCCAATGTCTCAGACAGCTCGAGAAATCCCTGTTCCCATTTCCCCGGGAAGAACCACTGAGAAAGATCAGGAAGCCAGTCGGCCTCATCCACCTCCCTCATAATCCTGCCCACAGTCGGAATTCCATCATCCAGCTCTCATTCCTCGCTAAAACCTATGCTGGAATATGGCAGCTGGGGCCATTTTGGCCAAGAGTCGGCCACGCGGTCGAGAAGGAGGGTGGAGAGAAGGACTTGGCCGACGCTGACAGTCGTCATGGCCATGTGTCTCTGTGGTTGACCGGCTGCACGTTAGCTGCCAGACTCTTCTCCGTCTGTGTTCTGCACACGCTCTCTCCATCTTCCCTGCACCCCCCTCCTCCCCTTCATCTGTCCTTTTTCTCTCTTTTCTCTTCCTGGCATAGCTACAGCCTTAGATACAGTCCAGCTTATAGGAATCAACATTCATATCCGACCCAACACACACACACACACAAACACACATTCTCACAGTATAGATAAACAATCTTGTGTTTCGGGATGGGACAGCCTGATTCGCCTCGTAATGGGACTCCATTACATATCATTATGTCTGTCCAAAACCCCAAAATCTGCCTCTAAGAGAACTAAAAAGCTCTTTGTGCACCACATTTTTCTTATTTACTCTGAAACTCTGTGACACCCCTCACTTACGGTTTGTTTTGCTTTAATATAAATCTCATACTGGAATCTTAAATTTTAAGATTCGTATCTCATGTGAAATGTTCACGAGGACCAAATACTCATCTGCCATCTTTTTCTTTCTCCTTTCGAGAGCAGATCAACCGACCTCTGACCATGAAGAAGGAAGGCATCCAGACCAGGAACAGGAAGATGTCCAGCAAGTCAAAGAAGAGCAAAAAGGCCCAAGATAACATGGACGACTTCTCCAAGAGCCTGATGGACAAGACCAGCTCATTCAGCCCGGCCGCTCTGTCCCGCCACATGTCATCCTTCCCCCCCTTTTCGCACTCCGGCCACATGCTGACCACCCCCACACCCATGCACCCCTCCTCGAGCCTCCCCTTCACCCCGCACCACCCTTCCAGTATGGTCACAGCCATGGGTTAGAGCTCCCCGCGGTGCACCACTCCTGAATCCTCAGCCTCGCCACCACCGCACCTTTCGGTACCTCTGCTGCCCTGCTTCCATATCCTAAACGACAAACTGCTTCTCGGTCCGATCTAAGCTCCCCAGTTTCACCGCCGAGCCACGGCGTGTGAGTGCGACAGGCTTTAGGCTCCTGTTCTCCTCAGTTGTATCTTATTTTTTATAAAAATCGAAGTGTACCTCTGCGATGTGAATGCTTTGCAGACTTGACTTGACTGTGGCGCACCGACCTCCAGGGGGACGTTTTTTTGTTTTCCCTCCTCCCCGAGCTGCCACCACCACATTGAGGCTGTCCTCCCAGCTGATCCACACGATAAGGAGCTCCATTTGTGTACAAAAAGCCATTTTTCCACACTTGACATCACAAAAAACTGACATTAAAAGAACTTTTGTGACGCCCTCTTCCTCAATGTCCAAACCCTACTCTCTTCACCTTGCACCTGTGTAACAGGAACCCCCCACCACCACCACCCCCACCCCCTTCCCGCTCCCTTGCTTCCTCTCCCTCTTCTCCTCCTTCTTCTGCTGAAGATGAGGAGAGACAGACGTTGAATATATTTGTACAAATTGTATGAAATACAGTACATTTAATGAAGACTTTTTAATTAAGTAAGAAAAAAAGGAAACATGCCCCTGGGCAGCTAACAACAAGAAGGGTACGAGTCGCAGCAGGTGGAGAGACTTGCCACTGGAGGAGTGAGGAGAGGCTGCCTCCGAGTCCCGGAGGAAAGAAAAAAAAAAGGGAGGAGGAGGTGAGGGAAAGACTTTTGAGAAAGGGCAGGCCTCGGTTTTTGCCTGCATGAATTGTGTTGCATTAAGTTTGCAGAGAGTCAGCGGCTCCGGCTGCAGGCATCTCTCTTCTTCTTCTTCTTCTTTTTTTTTTTTTTTGGATGTGCTATAGGTCTCGGGCAATTGGTTTGTGTTGAAGCGCGCACGTACAAGCACACACATACACACACACACTTACACGCACACACTCGCACACACTCGCACACACTCGCACACACTCGCTCACCTGAAAGACTTTCTTCCTGCCCACAGATTATATGCATTGTGAAAAAAGTTCCTGTATTTGTTATTTGTATGTATAAATCAGAGTACCAAAAATACGAAAGAAACAAAGATGTAGAATTATTTCTTTATGTTATGCAGACTGAATGGTTGTAAAAAATTTAATAATAATCACTAGTGTAAAATATGACTGCTTTTTTGTTTCGTAATTTTTTTTTTCCTCTTTGAAAATAATAAACTAGTTTAATCTCTGTTGACATGTTAGCTGTGGTTGAGAGCTGTCTTTTCTGTCTGCCTCTGTGCTGTGTGATCTTTGACACATGCTCACACACCCCCACCCACTCACCTACCCACCACAACCACATCTAGTAACGCCCACCTTTTTTTTTTTTTTTCTTTTTTTTTCACCCAGCATTCACAGGAACAGCTCTTAGGTCAGTTGAGCACAAACAGGAAGTGAAGGAATAAACAGCAGCAATGGAGGAACAAATCAAATGGCAGGGTCAGACAGGCCACTATGCGCGGGGCACCATGGGCTCAAGTGGCTTTTGTGTCATCCGACAAATACATAAACACATCGCGACCGACATGCAACAAAAAAACATCTGTCGTACACTGAGCGAGAAGGACCCAACAGGAAGAAGCATCGTTTCAGGCATTTTTCTTGCATCCTAATAATGACTAATAATTAAGTCAGATAACAAATACAGGCTGATATTAATTTAAGCTGAGAAATACTGTATATTACAATCATATACATATAACAATACCACATAGTAATATATAAAAAATAGCCACATGGCTGTGTACAACACCCTTTAAAGAAAAAAAGTTAATGAACACTTCTAAACATTGAGTTAACCTCACTGAATGTATCACCTCTAGTAGTGAGAAATGATTAAAGCGTTAAGCAGGAGTGGAAAAGAGGAACTACTGTATGTGTTTGTTTCAACCTCTGAACCGCAGAGTGGATAAAGTTCCCTTCATCTTTAATATCATTTTGCCCGTCAGTTTATTAAGTGATCAGTTTTGCTCGTGACATTTCCACAGCTCGCACTCAAAGTAGAGTTTTAGGGCTGTTAGTGCGACTGCATGACAGTGGCCTGTGTAAGGAAGCAGGAAGGAGAGAAAAGAAGATAACGAGCTGATATTAATATGAAAGATTGCAATGCAGGGCTGCAGAGCTCAGTAATACACTGTAGTGGGTGATTAGTGTTGTTAAAGCTGGGAAGTTATCACCATACATGCAATCCAAGACATGATGCATATATGATTTATTCCATTCATCCAGTGAGTATGACTTTGGACGCCATCAAGTTCTCAATTGAAGAATTTCCTGCATGTTATCCCCCTTCATTTTTCTTTACCATCATTAACCTTCCAGTAATCTACAAGCGGCATCTTCTTCACATCAACGCAGCTACAGTGGTTAGAGTCACGTCAGTTCTCTTTGCTTGCATGATGTTTTATTCTGTGTATGCAGAGCAGTTCGTGACACGTTGGCTTTAATGAAATCTGCAATGAAAAAGTACATCTGCCGTATCTTCCATCTCAGAATGCACATCAAATTTTTTTAAATAAGTACGTAAACGCAGCAGAACAGGCAAAAGATTAAAAAGAATGTTAAGTATTTGTTTTTTGTTTTTTTTAGCTACAATGATCCCATTTAAAAACTGGTAATCATGAAAATGATGTGAATATGGAAAAAAAAGCAGTAAGTTCTAAAGGATCACATTTGAATCAAGAATTTAGGAAAGACTTGTGAAGAAACTCTGGTGAAAATGGTGAAAGTGACGTGTTTCCACAGTGAGCCTGGACAGCCGTGTTTATAGTACCTGACTTACACATTTAAGCAGAAAAAAAAATACTAAATGTAAATGTGGTAAAACAAGGAGAATCTTTGCCTTTCAGCATCATTTTTACCCTTTAAAGCCCTCCAAAAACGTACAAGAAAACAAAGCAAAAGAGATCGCGCTGATGCTAATTTGTTACAATCTGCGATAATAACAGGATGCAGGAGTTTTAAAAAAAAGGCACCCACATCAAGCTCAGATGAGAGAAAAAAAGAAATTAATTTATTTTTAGTTTTATTATGCCACAAGTTAACCAGATAGTCTTACAGCGAACTTCTGCACGTAGTCGGCCTCTCAAGGTTTGATCCTTTCGCATGCAAAGCACTGAAATGTCGTCTTTGGCTCGAAACCTCTAAACAACTCTAAAGATCTAACTACCCCTAACCTGTGCACTGTTGCAAACCATTTCCAGTATCGAAATATATTTGCACAAGTGGAATGCCTGCTTCCCGGCAGAAAAGGCCATACAGGAGTCAGGTATTTGGCATCATTTGTTTCTGAGCTGCTGTGACCAATCAGGAGATTTGCTCCTGTGTTTTAATAGTGAGGTCAAGGGGGCATGTGGAATGAGAACAGAAATAGTGAGTGTATGCGTGTGTGTATAGAGGGATTGAGGAGAGCTTTGCCTTGTGGTGGGACCTCATGGCCTCTGGCTGACCTTTTCCCCGCTGGTGTCTGGCTGTGGACGTCTGCCAAGGGTGACTGGAGGTGCTGCAACTGGCTCAGGTGAGGATGAGGCACTCTCTGTGATCCCGTGTCCTCTTCCCTCCGTCATCATCGTCATCCCCGTCACAAACCACTTATTTCTGTCCGTCTCTCCTTCTGTCTGTCTCTCTTCCTGCATCTGCCTCTCGTCTTTCAGGTGAGGATGATGACAGATTTGTGGGTGTAATTGGCTCTTAGGAATAGTCCATCTTCATCCATGCTGCACCGCTGTCACCCTCAGCAGAGGTCAGGTCAAATTTGGGGTCGCTAAGAATTTGATGGCTTTGAAAACCACTCTTCTTCCAAAAAGATGCAACATTTCCTGCTTGGAATTAATATGTGAAAAGGCAATACCCATTCAATAGCAGGGGGTATTCAAATAAACTCAAATATTTTAAGTAAAGACTGAATGAGAGAAAAAAAACATCAGAATTTCCCCCCAATGCTAAAAATGATCACACAACAGGAAGCAGAAACCTATTTGTACAGGATGTGTTGATTGTTCCCTCACACCTTTCTTTACATTACATATGGTTTATGTGCAAAACGTTTCATGTCTTGGTTTAGGTGTGTTCTAGTTTCTCAGCACATACAAACGCAGTGTTGTATTAGTAATACTGGTTTGAAAGTGGGACCAATCTGTGTCAGTGTGGTCTCATGTGGGGGAACAGGTTGTGTATTGTGGGCTAATGGTTCTGTTACTGTCTCACAGCTCAAACCAATACCTGTTTAACAGTGTATAGTATTTTTTTCTTAGCTACGTATTTTGAGGCCTGGATGAAGAACACCCC